AAAAAAAATTCAGGGAAAGTGTCCTTCAGAATGCAAGCTAACAAAAGAATAAAAATAAAATTATAAATTTTTATTTTTTATTTATTTTAGGTAATTAAAATATACCAATATATCATTCCCTCACTTGTCCCCACTGCTGATTTAAAAAAAGTTCATTTTCAAATCTCACAACTATATTAGATATATGATTCAAATTTCACAACTATATTAGAATTTACTGATCTGTACTGTAAATGTTAAAATACTGCCAAAAAATGCCGTTAAAAAGTAAAAACTTTTTTTCACACATAAAGATAAGCTTTTAAAAAAAAGATTAACTTTACATTTTTTCTGTCTTGGAAATACTTAAGACCTTTCGATCGAAAGCTGATTGCCCACAGGAGTGAAAAGTTATATGGATTTTGTAATATTGTGAAAGCTTCATCTTGGTGTGCCAGAGCAAATTTTTAGAGAAATAAATAGTAAATTGAGCATAACCCTTCTTTCAAATTTCACAACTATATTAGAATTTACTGATCGGTACTGTAAATGTTAAAATACTGCCGAAAAATACCGTTAAAAAAGTAAAACACACTTTCTGCACACATAAAAAAAAGTTTTTTAAACTTTTTTTAAAATTTTTTGACGTCTTGTAAATTCCTAAGACTTTTAAATCGAAAACTGATTGCAAACAGGAGTGACAATCTATATACATTGATAATATTTTGAAAACTTCATTTTGTTCGTTACATAAAATTTTTGTAGAAAAAAAACATAACTTGAACGTCTTTTTTCTTTTAAACTTCACAACTGTATTAACAACTAATTGCGTGGTTGTATAAATGTTAAAATACTGCCGAAATATACCGTTAAAAAGTGATACCGTTTTTTTAAAAAATAAACTTTAATAAATTTTTCTATGCTTTGAAAATACTAAAGACCTTTCTATCGCAAGTTGATTGCCCACAGGGGTGAAAACTTCATCTTGCTATGCCAGAACCAATTTTTATAGAAGTAAAAAATAACTTAAACATCTCTTTTCTTTCAGACTTCACAAGCTTAAAAAGCATTACTGCTTCATAAAAATTTCAGAA